AGTATATCTCATATTTTTCTAAAAGAGAACTCCCCAACTGGATGGGTTAAGTTGAGACTAGTTAATTCTCGTTTTGAAATAAGTTTGTATTCATTGGTTTATACACAACATGTAATATCTCTAATCTCCACGGTCGAGTGGATGGTGGAGATGTAAACCATGGGTGGGTCCCAAAATAAGCCATACTATCTTAATTAAATAATTCAAATTGAGCTAAAAACAATATTATAGGTCAATGTTAATTGTATTTATTATATTATAACTAATATATGATATTGTTGTCGACTCTTTATTAAATCAAATTATTTGAAATCTTTCAAAAAATAAAATTTATGTGTGTTTAAAAAGCTCAAAATAAGTAAAGCCCACCATGTGTTGAGACACTTGGAACAAAAGAAAGGGAAAACAAAATGTTGGGAGGCACATGTCCATTGTAAGACTTGAGTTACAACTGACAAATGGAAACAATCAAAAGGGGCAAATAAAGTATATGGAAGTACATATCCTTTTGTGAGGAACTGCATTGCACTTTAAAAATATACGTACCAAAGTGAAAAAGAAAGAATCCGAAGGTGTTCTTTAATAAGGGTTCATTTTATGTGACAATGATAATATATATATATATGGCAATTACGTGTAATGAGACAACTTATCTTTGGTACAAGTAGGTTACAATTACTAACACATATAGTTTACAACTTTTTGATATGGTAGGTGTCACAAAGTTTGAAAAAAAAAATTTAAAACTTTGAGCTTGGTCAATGAAATAGATACAATCACCTAATTTCACATTCAATAGTCAAAGATTAATTGTGACCACCTTATACCAGAAGTAAATGGTATTAGCATACACTTTTGTTTTTGGGTGTGTGAAATATCACAGTATTTTACCAATATCTTGGACACCTAACAGTTTTTTAGTTGCTAAAAGTTGTCTTTCTTTTTTATCTCTTCTTAATAGGCTCCTTTAAACTTTTTTAATGAACTTATTACAAAAGAATATAAAAATTAGATTGCATTCAATGGGAGATTTACTTTACATGCACAAAGGTCACAAACACCTTAAGTCGATCGGATTTGGGGTATGTCATTGTTCTGAACAAAATTATGAGATTTTTATGAACTTTGAATGGGATAATTAGTTCATCCCATCCACTCGATTTCACATTTGATAATTAGCGATGATTGTGAGCGGTCTATATCAAGGGTCACAGTCCCCTATATACTTCCCAATATAAACTTACCTAGAGAGGAAACAACAAATACAATGACTTGTGCATATAAGGAAGTTTGTAACATGTGCATGACCATGGGTCACAATTATTATGGGCGGTTGTTGTCAAATCTATTTAAAAGAGTGAGACCACTTGCACCGCTCTAATGGCGACATGGCCAAAAAATAGAAAGAAAAATTAGAAGAATAATGGAATCTTATATAAAATCGACAAGATCTGGCCAAAAACCACAATATAATTTTCCTAGCACCATTTTGGTTACCCTCTCCTAGACATGAAGTGAATAAATTTTAAGATTATTCAATAAATTGAGTTTTTCATTCTCAAGATTATATAATTTTTTGTATTCTTACTTTTTATTGAATAAGGCTGAGGTCCTAAACAATAAAAGTAAAGCGCATTTCAAATAGTGTCAAAAAATGTAGTTTTAATATTGACAATCTTTGTGATGGCCTGAAAATATATTTTTATATCTAATTATAAAATTTAAAGCTTCAAAAATAGTGTAAATTGAGCAAATCTATTAACACTTGAAAATCTTGAAAATTAACAGTCCAAAAATGTATTACAAGACGCATTATTTTCAAAACTTGAAATTTATTTTTATATGCCCATGAATCTTGAGGTCGAGATGATCAATTTGAGAATTTTTTAACATCAAAACAACCTCCTCTAATAAAATTTTTGAGGTGCCCCTTATTTTGATTGTTTAGAGCCTCACATTTATATAAACTCTTTCCATCTATTTTTTACATCATTTTCACTTTTTTGTCATTAAGGTTTTCATGCACCCAATAAGTACTTATTGGAATAACCATGATATTTTGAAGAAAACTCTGACGTATCTTCGTTATCGTTAGATACAGATACAAACGTTAAAAATATCAATTTCAAAAAATTATTATTTTTAATATAATACATTTTAATAAAAATAAAAAAGAAAGTACCTTAATTTTTTAATGTTCACACACAAATGTCGTTTCTTTAGTGCGTCAACCAGCACGCCGAAAATCATAGGCACGTAAGCCATGTCGTATCTCCAAACAAAGTGATTTAGTTGGTGGTTCTTTATATTGAGCCTCCAACCATCAAATAATAACGGACTATTGGGACATAAGAAAGGAAGGTTGAGCCAACTCGTTACGCTCAATTCCTAGGCATAAAGGCATGGCAAGAAAACATAACGACTGATGATGTCAATGGGAATTAATTGTCGCCTTTGTTGGTGATTGGGACCCACTTAAATGGACGGCCCACATAAATGCTGGACATCTGAGCTTCAGATCTCCATCGTTAGTTTAATCTTCAGAACAACCCCACCTGAATATGGAATTCTTATGAAGATTATAACAATCTGTTTTTTTTTTTTTCTTTTTTTTAAAGATGTGCAAAAAGTTATTTACTTTGGATTAATGTGTAACATTGTCAATCGGATATTAAATATTTATGTGTGTTATTAACTACATTTGAAATTCAAAGAAATTTTTTTTGAACTTCCATCTTAAGCTATCCAATTTTTAATCCAACAATTAAGGGTATTTGTGACCTCCTTTGACATAAGTATGAGCCTCATTTAACTAAGGCTTGCATTGAGGGAGGGTCTGGCCAAAGCTGGCCTTGGTCGAGGCCGCCATAGGATTGGCCCTAGCCAGCCCTAACGGGCCTAATTTAAATAAATACTAAAAAGAAAAAAGAAAAGATGGGGCTGGGCCAAGCTAGATTGGAGCTGTCATAGCACTTGCTTGGAACCGATCCTCAAGCTACATTTTGTGGCCCAAGTCCTACTTTTTCACTGTCGGGCCAACGAGTCTAGGTCACCCACCCCATTTCGAGCCTTACTCTCATACTATATAATCCCTTTTTTTAATAAAAAAAAAAATTACAACAACTAAAACTTGCAAATTCAGTGACAATAGTCAAATTATAAAAACAAAATAGTATGATTAGGCCCATCAGATAAGGTAAAGAGACCTGGGTTATTGAAGATGAACGGCGAAAACATAACGATTTGTACTTTATCTGTCATTTACAAAAACTCAATCAAAAAATTTATTCGAAAACTGAAAGTGAGAAAGAATGACGCATGCTCCTCTTCTACATTTCCATTTGTATTGAAGACTCAGATCAAAAGCCGAGGGGAGAAACATTGAGCATTTACCCCTCCACTCTTGATACCATCCATAATAAAAGCAGGGATTTTTACAAAAAGACTATTTACCTTATGTATAAAGACATCATAATTATTTTTGTCTCTTGGATTTTAAAATGGGTGGTTGTAAGAGTGTCATTAACTAGACATATAGTTTCAAAAAATAATTCTTGGACTTTGTGACTCACTTCAAGCCATCCAATTTGATATCTAATGAGTGAGAATAGTTGGAACCACCTTGTACAAAAGGTAAATATTTTGGTGAGTATGACTATTAAAGGCATTATGAGTGATTGTAATAAATATTTTGATATAATGGAACATGAACTAAGTAAGGGTGTGGTCCCTCCTAGACTATACTAAGCAGATAACATTTGTTGATATCGAACTGAGCTTTACGAACTAAACCAGTCGGTTGGAAAAAAACTTATATTACCTGAGCATAGAAAACTATCTGATAAGAGTTTTAATAGCTCATCACTTGATGAGATCGGAGTATGCCCGGATGAATAAGATGATGGACTATGTGACCCTTGTGTGTGATGATGACCTTCAAAGATGAAGGCCAAAGTCTCATCTAAAAAACATCACATGGTATGAATATATGATAGTCATTTCAGGAAAGCGTACCACCTTTCAGGGTAAAGCTTATGCATATGCGAGAGATATCCCTATGCACAATAGGAGTTGTGGTCAAATTAGGTTTAGGTGACATTGGTACAACTTTAGGGGATAACCAGAAAACCACAAACTGAGATTACGACATCTTGGCTCATTAACCAGACTTTGGTGACCCACTAATGATCCCCTGCATGGACTGTAAGTTATAGAAAATACTGAGTTGGTTTGATAAAACAAATATGATCCGTAGTCCCCAGTTGAAGCTAGAGTGCCTCTGTGTTTTGTTGATTTAATTCCTACGCCATATAGATCATTTTCCTATCTAATGAATTTAATTATGCTTGTTTTATAATATATATGATTTTAAAATTATTATTTGAATTTTTTTAGATCTTTGGATATTTTATTTATCAAATTTGGATATATAAAATAAGAGATATTGATTTTACATTGATTTAAATATTCAAATAAATTATAAAATTATTATTTTTAGTTTTAAGAATATTTAAGATTGCATAAGAGCTCATTGTACATACGGGCCCACCATGGCCTAGATGGTGAGGCCCATTTGAGGTCCTCTCATGGGTGGCATGCCCCACCCATTTAGAAGCTTTCTATTTTTTGTAATAAGTGACTTTGGCTTGTAGGCCAAGTTGCAATGTGTTTTGGAAAGATATTGACTTGAAGAAGCTTTGAATGAATTTTTGAAATGCATAAGAAGACTTGTCCATTATTTTGGTATGCAAAATTTTATATTTGAAATTATTTTTATTTAATTTCTTTTGAAAGGAAAATGGTTTAGAAAAAATGGATAAAAGGTCTAGCACATTCTATAATGTTGATGACCCATCTATAGAATGGTGGGCTCAAACCTCTCACCCCGCAAGTCATCAAAGATCAATGGTTCATGTTCAATCTCACAAAAAGAGACAGGCCATGAAGAAACCTTAATCCTATTTTTGGCAATATAAATAAATGACCTATTGCCCATAAAATCTCTACACCAAAATCTCTATTATCTCTCTCTTGGTAGCAATAGGGGCATGCCCCAACCTTAGAAGTCTCTCTCTCTCTAGATCATACTAAGTGTACATCCCACCTAGATGGTGCTCTCTCTCTCTCACACACACACACACACACTCTCTCTCTCTCTCTCTCTCTTATCTTGCCTTGATGAATCTAGGGGTTGAGTTGGAGTAAGAACATGAGGGTTTGGACCTAAGTTTGTTTTCGCAATCAAGAGGAGATTATAGTTCCATTGAATGGCTTGGCCTAAACTTGTTTTCCCGGTTGAAATTGATGGTTGATCGCTAATTTTTTGCCATCAAATGGTGATGACTCGGTATGGGGTGTAATAAGCCTGGTTAACGTAATATCCAACAATTTTTTTTTTTTTTACAGATTTAATTATATTATCTTTACATTCCCAAGCATAAGAAGTAATATGTATTTTCTTTGCTTAAAGAAAATTGTTTTAGTGGCATCCAGGTTTAAAGATATATATATATATATATATATATAAAATGAACTCACAACCTTAATGATCATAATACAAATAAACACATATCATAGAAATAATATTTAACTCATAATCGTAAACACATATCACATATCATAGACAAGTTACAAAACACAATTCATAGACACATATCATAGACAACCATAATGAAAAGAGAATAAAAGCACTTACATCTGACACTTGCAGAAGCTTGAAAAGAGTTTCCACTCTTCTGGATAGTAACTAGGTAGACAATCCCAATAACAGTCATACATACATACAATAATTAAACTATTACAGCACTCCAACTCTCAACACTCAAGTACTTTAAACTTATGGACCTCTCTTACTACTTTGAAGAACCTCTCGCAAAAACCTCTCCCCTTCTCAATGTACCGCTTCCCCTTTTATCGACTTCTTTCGGATTTCAAATTTTTCTTTCAAGTCCGAATAGTAGTCTGATGATAGTAGGATTTTATCGATGATGGATGTTGCTGGTGTCGGTGATAGATACCATGGGCCTCTGATTTGATTAAAAGTAAAAAGGGACAGATGCTGTCGGCATGAATAGGGCCTTTGATCTGACTAAAAGGTAAAAGTAAAAGGTGACAGATGCTGTCGGCACGAACAGGGCCTCTGATCTGACTAAAAGGTAAAAGTAAAAGGTGGCAGATACTGTCGGTCACAATTTTTGTCGGCAGCTTAGGACTCGTGTGCTTTTGAATTTGCAGTCGATCCGTCCTTTGTATTGTGATATTTCTGAAATTCATATTTTTTATTGTGATATTCCATATCTTCATTGTGATATTCCGAAATCCATAACTTCATTCTCTTGTTCATAGTTTTCCTCATTCTGAGTGGACATAGACATGGCTTCCTCTTGTTCATCGAATATTTGTAGTAATTTCTGTTTGAGCTCTTCTCTAGTGACATTAGGGTTTTGCTGACGCATTTTGTTTACATAATCCACCATATTAACTTCTGTTTCAAGGGTTGAATATGACACTTTTCTCAGAACTATCTTTTCAGGGCTTAGGGCTTCATTTTTGTAGACGTCCCACCACTTTATGTATATTTGTTTGCCTAGTTCTGGGATATATTCCCAATTATTTGTATAAGCGTCTGCTATGTGGTAGGACCATTTCATGATCCATGAAATTTGGTATAAAGCCATAAAATACATGTAGAGGTCTATTTTGGGATTATTATTATTATGATGATCTATGAACTTTCTTTGAGACGTTTGAATATTTGGTGGCAGTATTTCTGTTCCAGATCCCCATAATTGGAACCAGTGCTTGAACCAATTTGGGATTTCTCCTATTACTAATATTTTTATTTGTATAAACCACGTATGGGAATTCATATTATTTTGAAAAGCAAAGACCTCATGCCATGCTTTAATATATTCAAAATATTGAAAATATTTATTGTTGAAACCTTCCGCTTGCAATTTTTTTGGTTTCAAGGGGTCCATACCCCATTATTTGTATGAGATTATTTTACGTATTTGAAATTTGGAATATGCTATCATATTAATATTCTTTTAATAAAAATGGACTAAGGTAATTGATCCTGTTTCAAGCAGGATGGCTTCATACCATTCTCGGCTCTTATCTCCATTATTGGGATATAAATGGCTATTCAAGTATGTAGCAGCTATTTCATATGGGTCCTTGGTTTTATGATTACCTTCTATTATAGTAATAGTTATAAAAGAGGTTTCTATGAATCTGCTCTTTTCTCCAGTCGTATTTATAGCTATTGGTATAGGTTCGAGAGAAAACATTATTTTCTGAGCTTGTTTTTTGATTATTTGTTTTGGAGTTATTGGGGATGATGATGTTGCCAAGGTTTTACCTAGCACAGGAACTATTTCCATTTTTCCCTTTTTTGCTAAACTGCTCTTGTCCCCCTTACAAAAATTCATGGGTTAAGAAATCAAGAAGGTAATTAGTGGTGCCTTTGATATGTTCAATCTCAAATTCAAAGGAAGAGAGTATACCTTGCCATCAAGCGAAAATATGTTTTGAGACAAGATTTTTCACGTCTTTGTGGAGTATGTCTTTTGCAGCTTTGCAATCAGTGCGAATTAAGAAGTTTTGATTGAGTAAATCAACTTGAAATTTTGTAACACAGTGGACAATAGCCAAAAGTTCCTTTTTAACAGTGAAGTAATTTTGTTGGGTCGGATTCCAAGTTCGGGAAGTAAAACAAACCAGTTGTTCAGTATTTGCAATTTTTTGTTTTAATATTCTTCCCAACACTTTTTCTGAAGCATCACATTCAATAATTTTGAAAGCAGTAGCGTCTGAAAGTGTAAGGCAGGGTAACTCTTTAGCCTTTATTTTTATTTTTCGTACTGCTGAAGTGTGCACATCCGTCCATTCAGGAGGATTCTTTTTTAATATTTGAAATAAGGGTTTAGCATCAATAGCTAAATCTTTATAAAAATCAGCAATATAATTGAGACAATCAAGAAATCTCCGGAGATCAGTTTTGTCTTTAATTACATCTGGGAATATATCAGCAAAATTAATGGCTCTATCAATGGGGATTATTCTACCTTGGAAAATATTATAAAAATCTTATTTTTGTCTGACAAAGACTAATCTTTTTCGCAGAAACTACTAAACTAACCACTTTAATTGCTTTGACAAAGATATTTAGATGTTTAAAATGTTGTTCCAGATTTTCAGATAATACTAGGACATCATTAATATAAACAATCATGAATTTAGTATAGGGATTAAATATATCATTCATATTATTTTGAAATTCTAAAGGAGCATTCTTTAATCCAAAGGGCATAACATTCCATTCATATTGCCCAAAAGGAACATTAAAAGCAGTTTTATATCGATCCTATAGCTAGATTTTAAATCAAATTTAGAAAAAATACAAGCATTAACAAACCTATTCAACAGATCTCTTGTATTAGGAATGGGATACCTTATCCATTTTAGAGCTTTATTAAGTGGTTTATAATTAATAACCAATCGTCGAACTCCTCGATCTATTTCAGTAGCATTTTCTACATAGAATGTTGAACAGCTCCAAGGAGAAGAGCTTTTCCTAATAAGTTTTTTCTGAAGCAAATCAACAATTCCTTTTTTACAAATTTCCAAAAGTCTGGGATTCGTCTGAATTGGTCTAGCTTTAGTAGGAATTTTTTCTTCATGGAAATTATTTTCATAAGGTAGGCAAACAATATGTCTTTACATATTCCAAAAGGCATTTGGGAGTTCAGCACATATTTCTTTTTCAATATTCTTTTTGAGGTTTTCTATTATCTTTTTATTCTCATGAAGTAGGAGCTTGGTTTCTATTGTTTTATATTTTATTTCTTCTTTAAGGTAGTATAAGAACTTTTCTTTATTATTAAAAATCTTTTCTTTTATATTATTGATTTATCGAATTTTAGGTTTTTCGAAAAACTCAAATTTCACATTATGTCATTCTATTGGCTTCAATTCCAGTATTATCAATTTTTATTAGGTAAAGCATATTTAGAAATGGAGTTCCCAGAATTACCGATTGGCTTAATCCTTTTACCATAATAAAGGGGAACTCAAAACAGTTGCCATTATTTCAAACCGCCGCATTTGAAAGTTTATAGTTTATAATCATTTTACTGTCGTCTGTCGTGTTTAAGTCTTGTGTGGTTTTACTAAAATATTTAGTAGGGATCAGACCTTCATTTATACAATTCAAATATGCTCCTGAGTCTATTAGAGCAAGAGTTTGAAAACTATATTCTCTATGGACGATTATCTTTATCATGGTGAACCATTTTTTAGTAATTACTTTGTCAAGAAGACTAATATAATTACAAGATTGTATTAGAAGATTCTGGTTCATCATTGACTACCTTAGGGAGAAATTCTTCTGTCTTAGGGGGTAGAGGATTTTTATAATTATTTATAATATTATTAAATTCAATTTCATCATCTGTATTAACATGAATATCTTCTACAGGGTTAGAGGCTAACTCTATAATCTGTACTCTATTTTTCAGGTTTATTAGTTCATTACGAACTTCGTTAATTTCCTGTCTTAACTCAGAGATAGAAGGTTCCTTATGATTATTATTTTTATCTTCGAATTTTCTAAGGATTTTAGCAAAACTATAGTCTTCTTGAGTGCGAACTAAAGGAGGAGAGGGTTTTTTATTTCCTTTGGCTATATTTATATACTGGACTAAAGCTTCTCGCTTAGTCTCAGGATCAGTTATCTTATCGATTATATCTATAATTAGATTCTCCTCTTTGGTAAGAGCATTACAAAAGCAAGCGGTATCAAGATTATTATAGTCCGAATCTGAGCTGCTAAGGATTAAATCTTCATCTTCTATTTCTCCGGTTAGCAATTCTAATTCAGAATCAAAAGAACTTTTAGAAGACTCTTCCTCAATTTGTAGTATATTAAACAATTGTTCTTTAATGGTGTCATCTAATTGTAAGCATCTATTTTTCTCTTGATTCTGATCTTATTTTTATAATGTCCTACTTTACCATATAGTTGTAGCAAACAGGAATTCTTTTGCCTTTGGTTTTTTTAAAAAAGTTATTTCTGAGAAAAAAATTTCTAGAAAATTTTTCTTTGATAGAAGTTTTATTGGATCTTGTCTTATCGATATATTTTTTATTTTTCTATATTCTCTTATCAAAATCTTTAGAAGAAGGCAGAGTATTAAATCCAAACTGTTCACAAAAATCTCATACTCTTTTCTTACAGTCATTCTCTGTTTTTCAAGCTGTCTCTTTAGCTTTAGATCTATACAGAGAGCAAGGCCTTCTGCACAAATTTCGACTGACAATTCACCTAATGTATATAAAGAGTATGGGATTATTCCTCCATGTTTATTCTTTAATCGGGTCTTGACTTTTTCGGCAAAAAGATCGGGTAAACCAGAAATGAATTTTTCTTTCCTGTTATCAGATTTACTATCTTCTCTAGAAATGAGTCTAGAGAAAAACACATCTTTGTACCACTTAAAAACACATCTTTGTACCACTTATAATGGGATAGTATTGGGCATATGAGATTAGAAAGTAGGTCTTCTGATCTGGCATCGAGCAGTGCAGTACTCCCTACAAAGTGGAGAGTAATAGTATATATTAAAGTATTCACTGCATCACTTTCATTATTTATTATCTCTTGGCCAAACTCATTTTTAACTGCCCACTGCTTGGTGGTAGTAAGTATTTCATTTTTTGTATCTTCATCTATATGGAAATCCCACCATCCCCTTAGCCATCTCGTAAATCCACAAATGATGGCTTTAGCTATTTCTTAGTCTTCGTTTCCACTTATTTTACAAGCAGTCGCATACATGGTCATATGCTTCATTAGCTCAAGAATCTGACTCTCTGACATTCCATCAATATTCCAGTTTACAATTGATCTTCTCGAATAAGATACAGAACTTGTGATTAAATCTTCTTCAATAGTGAAGGTCTACAGGAGTAGGCCTAGGATAATACATTTGTGTTTGAGAAGTAGGTCTAAACTTTTTTCCATAATCTATCTTATTTATTTCAAGGCCTTCTGTCTTGAAAGCTTGTTCTATTTTATTAAGGTCGCTATTAGAAAAGGGTTCTCCTTGAAGGACCATAGCTCCTTGATCAGAACTAGTTTTAAAATTTTCTCCCTTTTCTTTTATAGTCAATTTTGCTAATTTTTTAATTAGCTCATTCACCAGTTCTTTATTATTATCTTTCTTCTTTATACCTTGAAGGCTAAACTGTTCATTATTG